GGTAATGTCGCTAAACTAATGACTATTTTAATGGACGTTTGTGCAACTTGTTGTAAATCTGATATTAACTAACTGCTTTTATAGTATTTTGTTTTACACGTTTCTTTAACAATATTTAAATAATACTGGTAACTTAAAACATCGTTAAGTACATACACAACTCATAGATCAATAGAGCAAGTGGCATAACTACAGTGCGTCAAAACTTATCAAATATTAACTTAACTATACAAAAAGAATTTACGAAAAGACAAATTTTGCATTTGCATATGCAAAATTTTTCTTTTCACTTGCTAATATTTTGTTTCGAAAGAAAATATTCGCTAATTTCATCTTAGTATAGCGACATCTCTGTCGCACACTTCCTAAAGGATAAAACGGGAACTATTACTCAGATTTCGCTTCTGTCAGTTTGTTCGTCTGTCACCAGGCAGTATCTCAGAAACCGTGAAAGTTAGACAGTTGAAAATTTCACAGATTATGTATTGTTACCGCTTCAACAACAAATACTAAAAACCAGAATAAAATAAATATTTAAGGGCCTCCTAAGAATAAAATAATATTGTAGCGATTGTACATCTGTAACAACAGTAACCAAAGGCTTATTGCTAGAGAACACCGCCTATGGTATACTATATTTTTTGGCGGTCAATCAATTTAAAAAAATAAAGCAATAATAACGCATACATTATAATTTTGATAAACAAACTTTTAATTACACCAAGAGATTGCATATATTTCACAGAACGGTATTATTAAAACTCAGAGAATTGTAAATATTTAGCAGAGAATAGTAAAAAACTTTGGTAGCATTCAGGAAAAAAATATTTATTAGACAGACAGGAAAAAACAAAAAAAACAAAACCAAAGAAAAATAAAACTCTATCTACTCTTTTCAAATGAGTTTCTTCAGGTCCCCCAAATGCAATGAGAAATTTGTTTATGAAAATTATAATGTATGCGGTATTACTTTATTTATTTAACGTTATTAATCAACGAAAGGTATAGTATACCATAATTTTGTTTAGCCAGACCATAATAAAACTTTTTTAGTTCAATTTTAGCAAAAGTGTTTTTTAAACATTTAATTATTTATATTTCATCATCATCATCAGCCCTTTTACGTCCCCACTGCAGGGGCTCAGGCCTTCCTTATGGATGGTTAAGGAGGATGGGCCATGACCCTCTACGCTGGCCCAATGCGGATTGGAGGGTATTAACGACTGCAAATGCAGCCGGGACCAACGGCTTAACGTGCCTTCCGAAGCACGGAGTAGCTCGAGATAATAATTTTTCGGTCACCCATCCCGTGACCGACCCTTGCGAAAGTTGCTTAACGACAACGATCGCGGGCCGCGGCGCTTATCCACTACGCCACCGAGCTACTTATATATTATAACAGAATATATATATTTATATTTATAACAGAAAAACTCTACAGAACACCCTTAGTATAATAAGAAACTTTTATTTAATTAATATAGAGAGAAATCTTTTTCGAAGCAGCGTTTCCAACATTTGTTGAACAGAATAATAATGGTAAACGATGTCCCGACAGCAACTAGTACGACTACGAACTAATTAAGAAAATACATTGTCTTGTCTAGTTCTTTTAATATTTACTTTCAACCCTAGGTTTGTATCAGTGTTATTTCGATGAAAGCAATTCGAAAGAATTTTGTAAACTATGGCCAATCTATAGATATGTATATATGTATGCTGTTGATCTTACAAATTCTAGAGTAGCATTTCTCGGTATGTTATGCGGAGACTTAAAATATATTGGGGTCCACGAAAATATTGGCCACTAGTTGTTTTCCCGCGACTTTGCCACGTAGAGGGTTATGGCCTATCCTCCCGAAGGCCTGAGCACTTGCAGAAGAGATGCAAAAGGGCTGATGATGATGAATGAATAAAATAAGTAATTCATTATTTATGCACAGTATACATAAACATAGGTTTTGTTTTATTTTAAAAATTCTGTATAAATATATGGTTTCCAAAAGATTCGATCGCCATAACCGTTTGAGAACCGCTGCTCTAGATGATGAGTGATTGTAACTGTAACTGATAGTATTACCCTCTTTTACTGTGGCGATGTTGGCAAAGTGAGATAGATGTCGCTAATTTGTAGTAGAATTCACCAGAATAATATAAAATAGTTGCGAAGTCCCACTGATAGGTGACTAAGTTGTAAAAACTTAGTGCGGATCTCAGAGCATAAAATGTAATGACTTGGCAACCGCTTCTCGCCCTTAATAAGTCATAAATAGCCGGTAGGAAAAAAATACTCATTTAAAACCGCTTTGTTAATGCTACAAATTACTTTTATGAAGGCAGCAAAAACTACAAAAATGTTTAATTATTAAAAACGCTTTTGTCATAAAGTATACAATTACAACTGAATTTACAAATATTTATACTTTAAAATCCACATCAATATTTTATTCCATTAAGAAAAATTTATCATCCTCCAACCGTTTTAAATCATGTCGTAATATATTGTTAGGGTAACTCGTTAATTTGTCAAAAAAGGTTTTAGGGGACAAAATGCGATACTCAAGCGATTCCGTCAACCGTTACACAGTGATTCGGGTCCAAGGCATATGTTAACAGAGTTTATTAATAAGCTTACTTGTACATAAGTGCCTATATTATTCTTTACGGTTTATGAGGGTGTTATTGTGTTGGAGGGATACAGCCTATGTTTTGTTACCTTTAAGTAAATAAGTCTTTTGCATATGAATATGGAATAAGCGTTGAGCAGAAATTCGTAGATATATTATTAAAAATAAAAAGAGTAAAATAATAAGGAATCATTAAAAAAAACAAAGTTATTAGGAAAACAAATGTTAATAGATAGTATCAAAGAGGTAAAATATTGTAAAGATATGAAACAATTATATTAAACGAGTGCTTTTTTTCCTTTACAACGTAACACGGCCGGTATAACCTGGTCAAAACGTCGGGAATATAATACCACGCGAGAGTTTAAAAGTTAATATTTTCTTATACCGTATCTTGTACTGTAACGATACAGTTTACAATCATTATTGGAAGATTCTTTTTATTTTTTATTTATTCATTCGTTTATACACTTTACTGCATAACAAATTAAATTATACACTTAATAGATTTCCGCCAGCGGCTTCGTCCGCGTGGTCCTGTATTATATATATAGCGGCGGGTAGTCAGAAGGGGCTATTATGAAGCCCAAATAAATCGTCCATATCGGGGGACTATCTTTAAAATAACACTGCAGGCCTGTATACTAACGTGGATTTATCCCATGTTATCACTTTTCATACGAAAATATAACGTCATGAGCGTGATGTCGTCGGACGTCTTTACTCTTGGGCGATCGGAAACAGAATGTGTGCCAAAATGGCGGCAATTTGCTTTTGTTAACGAACTGTCAAAGTCACCATTCTAATAAAATTAGAAGTATCGATGATCACGCTCTCTCTACAATCGAGTAATTAAGAAATCGAGTAACTAGCAATTTAAAAAAGTAAATAAACAAACGATCTTCGTAAAGATGATGCGACATATACAATATGAACCTTCATCTTGAATCACTCTGTATATTGATAAAATACGCTGTGTAGTTTAAAAGCAGAAACTTTGTTTTATCTTATGTATTTTAAACAGGTGTATGAAAAATGTGTATCCCAGCAGAAACTTAACATATATACAAAATGCAAAAGTCACGCAACGCAATACCTATGCCCTAAAAGCTTATGAAATCAACGTACACCTAGTCAAAGAACACAGTACCTATTTTTCGGTGGGAGCAGCTACCCAACTTTCATAATATATATTCTAACTAGTAAATCTTTATTAAATCTTTATATTTTTTCTTTACTTTGTATGCAACATAACAGTGCTCTAAATTTGGAGCTAGTGGCTAGAAGTACCTTAGAATTTTAATGATCTATAAGTCAGTCAGTGACTATATTAAGGAAATTTAACTTGCAACAATTCTCAAAGTACTCTTTCAAATTTAATGTAAATTAGAAATGGGCCTCGTCATGTACGGCCCTTTTGGGTTGTTGAAAATTTAGGCTTGTAGTTTGCGTTACAAAGAAGTTAAGAATGACCCATTTGGGTCATTCATTTGGTGATTTCAAGAAAAAGATGGTATGGTTATGCCCTTCTTACTTTTTTGCTCGACTTGGCGTTGCACTTCCGTGCCCATGAAAGAACATTAGATGAAAAAACATGGAATTAACATTAGATGTTGTGCATTAGGCGACCTTATCAGAGCGATATTTGATCCTCTTAAACAAACACCTCCTGAAAATCTATTCCGTAGTTTTGAGTTTACTACGTTTCAATAAATTAACAACGAATTAGTTTTTTAATTTAATGAAATGTTTTCAAAGTAACATTATTCAGAGTATGGTGACGTAATCCAACTCTCGGGTGCTTTATTATTTATGACACAGACGGTAACTTAATTAGAATATGGATTTCATACAAAGCTTACCAGGCTAAATAACCACGCTAAATTGACTTAAATTGTAATTGCCTACCATAATTTATTTAACTTCTCAATAACTTTGAAGTAAATTAACATTTCTACGGTTCCGTGTCACAAAAGATTTTGGGAATAAAATATTAAAATGGATTCCGAGTCCATAATATTTAAGGTCATAAGTTTTTAGGTTTCCATACCCAAAGGATAAAACGGGACCTTATTACTAAGACTGTTGTCTTTCCGTCAGTCTCTCCGTCCGTCTATTTGTGGCTAAGACAGCTAAACGGATGATGTATTTCTGTTACCGTTATAACAGCAAATACTGAAAAATCGAATAAAATAAATATTGAAGGGCAAAGATGCTTTTTTTTGTGTTTTAAGTGATAGTTTCTACAAAACCTTCACCACGTGAGTTGCACTCCCATTTTTAAATATTCCTTCTATCTACGTATTTACTTTCGTTACGTTAATCGCACTCTAACTTTTAAATATTACTTCTATTTTCTATTTAAACTTACAATTAAGTTATCTCAAACTGAAATGGAGACTCACTTGTATCAGGCGCTACATCGTTATCAACCTCGTGTCCCGTAATGTTCATCATGTATGCGCTCTTGTTCTCCGACAACTTCGGCATCTGCACCTCTACCAGCTCTACGTAGTCCGCCTTCCTCAGCACGTCATGTCCGTTCTTATCAAAGCTATCCCCCTTCACACCAGCAGTCCTATTTACATCACTCTCATTTATCTTCGCAGCTATGAGAAACTCAAATCTCGGCATCGCGTCAACTAATTCTGAATCGGGCCTAAACATTAAATCCGTTATAGATTCTTCTCTGTCTGTTTCAGAATCTATCATCTCATGCAAACTGGGATTTGATATGTTCTTTCTCTTTTCAACAGTAGCCGCATCTTCTGCTAACACGCTATGGTCTTGCATTTCGGACATAACTTCATCTCTGTCTTGTTCAGCATCCATCATAGATGCTAAATCATCTACATTATCGCTAACCTCTTCAGGATTGTCATCGTTAGCTACAACTAATGTATCAGAATCTTGTTCAACTGGTATATTGAATGTGTTGTTGCTGTTGGTAAATTTTATAACTATATCCGTTGCGTTGTCAGAATATGGGCGTGCTTGTACCACATCTGCTGTGAGCAGTGAATTCAGGAGAAAGAACATCAATTTTAATTTAACGTTCGTCATTTTCTCCGTTTCGTTTCACGATCTCATCTTTGAAAATTTCTTTTTACATTGTTTCAGCCGAGACTACGTTGTAACATCTTAGTTCTGCTGCTTCCAACCTGTGAACAATGGAAACTACTAATTAATCAGTCCTTTCTTTACTGATTTGTGCTATTCGAAAGAAAACGGCGCTCGTTAGTTGTGATTTTTCTTGGATCAACATTTTCCTTTTAACGATCCCTATTATGTTTAAAGTTAGAAAAGAATTATGTAATTTATTGCCGGCTCATAACTTTGTTTGGATTTAAGTAACTTACTTCAGTATCTTTTGTTTGCGACTCAAATTAAGTGTTGTTTATAAAACTTAGCATCATTTTGTGTGAGCTCATTCGCTTTTTTTAGTATATTCTGTATAGAGTGTAATAAATATGCGTTTTTTAAATTCACAAAACTGGTTCACGTAACATCATCATCATTTCAGCCGAGAGATCTCGTAATATACTTAACAATAATATCTTACAAATTAGACTATAATATTACGACAATTTTATAAAAAGCCTATCAAAAGTAAACATAAGAGACTGTAGATTGTTTTTGTTATAATAATTCAGACAGAATTCCTCTGCCTCAGACAGAACTAAAATCTATACTAATAAAATTTCAACCTTTTATATAAATATAAATAAATATTGGACTTGGCGACACCTTGAAACCGTTTTGCACACCTTACCCAAATACCTCTAAAACCTTTTGTAAATCGTAAACGACTTCAGTTGAGATGATAGTAGCTTGACATTGTTTTGTCATTCCTTGTACATCGGTCATTCATGTCGCCGCGCCATATCGTCCATTGACGAAGCACATAAGATGAAAGATGACGGTGCCATTTACGGAGGCTGTTACAATTTGTCACGGTTCACTCGCGCCGCGTGCCCGGGCCATTTGTATTGAAGTACACGGGGTGAGCTTAGCTAATAATACATACTGAAAAATGTCGTTTGCATAATACGTTTTGTTAAAAGAAAATGCGAGATTATTTTGAAGTAATACTTCTTTTCGGTTTCCATTGGAAAGATCCATCCTGACTGATAAAATACGTGATTCCGCTTAGCGATGTGAAATTCCATCTGCGTCTGTGTAAAGATTTCCGTGCTTGCCTGCGAAACAGTACTAACAAGGAAACAGCTATTTCATCTAACTAATAATAGAGAAAGTTAAAGAACATGCGAAACACTGCCATATAATTGACAGTTTTTTATTAGTTCGTCCTTATTTGTCGGTGTAAAAAAGTCGGCAGCCATTAAAAAGACATCGTGATATTTCTCAACCACAGAGAATACCTCAGTGACCTCGTCCACAGTCGTGAGTTATATTGAATAATATGAATAAGTATAATGCAACATCACATACCTATATTGCTCAGATACCGAGGTGACTAGTTAAACGTATTATGCAGTATCTGAGAAAACGAATGTAACATCCAAACTCGAGACACTGTATAAAGGTCCATTTCCTACATTAACCCGACCAGGTCTCGAACCCGGGACCTCAGAGATGGCGACACCTTAAAACCGGCATGCGAACCACTCGCCTACGGAGGTCGTCTTAGTTTGATTATACTGACTCATCCAAAAATTTTCATTCGTATCAAAGCCGAGTGATTATATTAGAATATCGATTTTAGACCGAGCATTAGTTAATTTTAGTTAATCGATTAGAGCATCTCTATATAAAGATGACAATTTACTGATTAAAATAGGAATGTTAGGGTTGGTGCACATCTGACGGAAGACCTGTCTAGCGTATCAGGGTAGTACTTAAGACACCATAGTCTTATATTTAATTGTTTCTTAGCGATAAAGCCGTCGATTGCTGCCCGATCCCTTCTATGTGTTATTATTTTCAATTATTGGTTTATATAAAAGAGTTATTTATTCATTCAAAGCCCCTCCCCCCAAATCTGCACGACGCTCGATTGCGTGTGGTCCTTATCTATAGAGGTTTTATATCATTGAAGCTCTACGCTGTGACAGCGCTGTGTTCCGCGACGGATATTCTGCCAGATATACTAACACAGCCCCCGTTTACTGTGTCGAAGAAAATAATTAAATATAGTTGAATAAGGCAACGTAAATTACATATTGTATTAATGAAATTTTAAAGCTATCTTGCAGGAATACTCAGGGGTGTGTTTACCCTAGAGCTATACCCCGACCCCACATTTATTTGTATAATATTTTATTCTTTTTCTCTTACTAGATATAACGAAAAGATTTCCCTTTAATTTATAAGGCGCAAATCGGCTGGCTGGGATATACAAAGTTAATTTCATGTTTTGTTACGTCGATTAGATCAATACAAATTATTAATATTTTATCAGTTCTATAGAATTTATGAAAAACATGATTTACCAAAAACGAGCAAAGCTCGATCATCCAGACTTATTTTACTCAACAAAAACCGAAATTTTAAACGAAACTGACTCGTTTGGTTTTCTATCTGTCAAAATGAATGAAATTATAACAACTCATTTAACCTTTATTTGTTTTACTTACAATACATTTATAATGTTTCGGAGAGAAGTTTGCCTACAGCTTAGTGATGAGTCCAGGAGGATTTCATAGGTTCAAACGAGGTGAAACAAAGATTAACGGGAATTAGTACAGGTTTTATCTTCCACTTTAAGACTTAATACGAGAGAAAACTTTGAAATTTCCTTTGTGTTGCGTCCAAGAATACCAGGGCAGACCGCAATCAAAACTATAGCCAAACGATAGCTATGAATGTTCTATTGTTTTTATTATCAATGAACAATATATGTATATTGTTTATTATTTTTATTTATTTAAACTTTTTTGCACAAATAAAGTGTACAAATGGCGGACTTAATGCCAGTAGGCATTCTCTACCAGTCAACCGGAGAGTTAAGACATAAAGAATTTAATGAGGCGGTGCAATGCAAAATATAAATAAAGTGTCTTGATATAAAAAAAAAATAAAAAAATGGAAATAAATATATACATTACATAAATAAATATATAATACATACATACATAAAATTAGTCAGATTAATTAAAAGCGGTAGGAGAATTCAATAGCTTATCGCGTAACAAGTAGTCAATGGAAATGCCAATGTTATTATTACTTTTTTTATATAATTAATCTCGCTAATTACAACTAAAAACTACACAATTGTTACTATTAAAACATTTTATTAATATTTTAGAGATACTAATATTGGGAGAGGTAATTTTGTAGTAGGGGGTAGTTTTTAGAAAATCTGAGCCGATCATGAAAATTGTTTTACCCACGGGAAACTACATCATACGCGGGTGATTTAAGCTATAATATACTGGGGCGAAGTTGCGAGAAAACAGCTGGTAAATAATAACATCTAATGATTATTTTGTGTCTTATATATTTGACGGCACTGTTGAAAATCCCTTAAAATTATAATATTTCCTAACACCAGTAAAATAAAAAGACTTTTTATCAAATGTTATGCCTAACCATGTTTTACTAAACAAGATGGTCGTTCTCGGAACATAAATTACGTAGCTATCTCAACACGATATTATTTTTTCATCGTATCTCTGGCTCCATATTTTTCGCGTTAGCTGACAACGATGGAGAATAAAAGATTGTCGGCTATTTGTCAACGGCCATCTTTGTTTCCGGATAGTATTTTTGTTGATACTGTACGAGATATCGATACGCTTGCAATCGATTATGCTTTAGAAACGAATTTTATGAGCCAATATTAGTTTTGATGATCAATAGTTTCGTACGCGTGCAACAAATTTTCTTCGTAACAAAATAGCTATATGTTGCAGCGGATCTGACATCAATTAGTCACCGTTCTTTGTCAGGGCTAGCCTTCTATGGAATGATCCCTTAGAAATCAGAATGTCCACTAGTAAATTCACTTATACAAAGACGTTGCATGGCTATCTTTTGAATGAAGCAGATTCGTCAATTCGTTAGTTTATATCGTATCATCATCATCATCAGCCCTTTTATGTCCCCACTGCAGGGGCTCAAGCCTTCCTTATGGATGGTTAAGGAGGATGGGCCATGACCCTCCACGCGGGCCCAATGCGGATTGGAGGGTATTAACGACTGTAAATGCAGCCGGGACCAACGGCTTAACGTGCCTTCCGAAATAATTATTAATAATAATTTTTTGGTCACCCATCCCGTGACCAACCCCTGCAAAAGTTGCTTAACGACAACGATCGCGGGCCGCGACGCTTAAACACTACGCCACCGAGCTAATATCGTATATTTATTTTATTTATATAACATGTCTAGTTTATGTAAGCATATATAAATATGTATTCATTATAAATATATAATATATGTATATATTTGTAAAGAACTCTTAATAGGTACTTTCGGTTTAATTGTGCACCGGTTTAATTAAATAAATAACTACGTCATTTTTAGCCTAAATCTCTAATTATCTACAAAATCATGATATAACTATGTAGTGTTGCGAGTTAACAGATTAAATTTCCCATTTATATTATTATAGTGCCTATTGATAAAATCAGTACATTGCCGAGTGGTCCGCACACCGGTTTCAAAATGTCGTCATCTCTTTAGTCTCAGGTTCAATTACGTTAATTAACTTTCCAATATTATCTCGGGTCTGGGTGTTGTGGTACATCCAATACTTCGTTACTCCATAATACGGTTGCGTTGGCTTCTTATCTTGGAATCAGAGCATTGTGTGTGATGATTATTTGTTACGTTTTCAATACTTTTATCTGCTATAAAGTATATGGCTCCTGAGTATTTATTTCCTTTTACCTAACACTGAGCTTTAAGGTAAGTGCATATCTGACTGAAGATGTATCACATCTCATTGGTTACAGATGATACCAGGTGTTTTCCCGCGACTTCGTCCTAGTAAATTATATATGATTAAGGTTTCAGTAGGTGAAAGAAGTTTCATGATCAGCCCTGCGATTCTGTAAAACTTCAAACCCGATTTCGAAATCACTCGGGTGTCCGAATTC